TAATGACTAAAAAAATATTGAGGTAAATTTTGTTTAAAAAATAAGAAAATGATTAAAAATAGCAATTAAAAAAACAAAAATCATAATTAGATAAACAAATAAAATAAAATGTTAAGGGACAATATAAAAAAATCAAGAGAATGATTAAAAAAACAACAATCAAGAGAATGAATGTTATATTTAATATAAAAATAAAATCAAATAGAATGGAATGGATAATTTTTTTAAAAAAAATTAAAAAATAAAGACCAACAAAAAAAAAGAAGATCACAACTAAAATAAAAATTAAATTGAAGGACAAACCTAGATTTTATTTGACCTCATGTGAATTTAAAGGAGAAGATAAAGAAAAGAGGGGGGGGAAAATTCACTATCTTCAAGTCGCTACAAATTACACTACACACACCACCTCGTTAGTCATGCAATCGTTGGATGCTTTAGAAGACATAATAGTTGAATATTTCTAGCTATAAAAAACATCACACACACCATTAGAAGTGTAACATCTATTTATTGAATATATGTTTTGCACGTGTTAGTTATTTTTTATTATTAATTTTCTTATTAAAAGACTAGTTTGTTTTTAATTTAAATAAGTTATAATATAAAACCTGATAAAAATATCTAGAAATTCATTGACCCATCCTTTATTTTTTTAGGCAATGAAATAATTTTTTTAGTAAAAAATGAAAGGATAAAAAACCCCTCTCATCTTTTAGTTTTTTGCTTACCTTTTAAGGATATTTATCTCATTGCATCGTGCAAAAAAAATTAATAAATTATCATAACTCCGATTAATGTTACAGAACCAAATCAATCCCCTAGAAAAGACGATCCTATCAAGTGTAAATAAAAACTATTTATAAGAGCAAAAATATCACTGTAGTGTAGCAACCTACATGAAATAGATCTTCCACCACAGTAAAAGAGTGATGGCATTCGGTGTTTTTTTTTTAAAAAAAAACAACTAATAAGACTGCAAAGGGGACTAGTGACTAAGGGAATGAAGAAGGAAGAATAATCCAAGGAGGAAATATAAAATTAAATAAGGCCTAAAAAGACTGATTTTCCACGGCAGAAGTTTGCGGAACACACATGTAAAGAACCTCATCATTCCAATCCCTCCTTTTGAAAAGAACAAATAAATAAAAGACAATAAAAATATATCTAGGAGAAATAAAATCCCACAAATCTCAACAAGTGAAGGAACAAACTCAGCTGCTCGAGGAAGAAAAGCAGGGAAGAAGAGGCCAAAGCAAGCACTAAAATCAAAAGCGAAGACTCGTATCTGTATGGATGAAATAAAGGAATTAAAAGATATAGAAGCATAATCTCAGTCAACAATCCAGTCAAACCCAGAAATTCCTATCTCCATTATCGTATGACTGACATTAATCTTCCATGGTCGGTTTGATGATTAAAGCGTCTGTTCTATTTATTGATTTTTAGAGTTTAAATAATGGAGTGAAAGACTTTTTTTTTTTTCTAATGAAAGAAATGTTATTAAAATGATTTCTTAAGAAAATAATTAATAGTAATTGATGCGCAAACTAATCCAAAGAAATCTCTCAATGGTTGAAAGAGAATCATCATGGAAGATGACCAACTATATATTCATAATACTTGGTGTATATCAGCATCACATCCTGCCGATTTCTCTCACATATTATATTGCAATATGTGTGTGTATTTTGACAAATATATGATGGCTATAATCTAGTCTTTAAAAGGATGGAGGAGAAAAGAAACACAGAGCACAGCAACAAAAGCAAGAAGTTGGAAGGGAGCTCATGGAAAATTAATGGCTTATAGGCTTTATATATATATATATATATATATATATATTATGTCTTATGGTAAATTCTACTTTATTTATTTGGGAACTCCTAAATTGTTTTAAAATTTTCCTCCTTTTCTCCTCCTTTATGCCCATTAAACAATGAAAATGCCATTTTACCAATCATCCTTTCCCCTGTATAGGAAACACCCATCATTGCTCCCAACAATCCTTTTCAACCTTAGAAACCTGAGCTTCTAAGATATTCCCTCCTTCCATTCCTTTTCTCTTATGCTTCCCCTCACTTCTCCCGGTTTAAATACTCCTCCATCTTTTATTACCTTCTCCTCCCCTCCCCCCCTGAAAACACACCCACCTCCTCCTCCTCCTCCTCCTCCTCCTCCAACTCTTATGCTACCATCCCATCACTCTTCTTTCCTTTATACTTGCGCGGAGAGCTGTTATAGTGAGTGTGAGTGATCAGTGATCCTCCCCTGATTGATTCTTCCCCTTGAAATTAGCACAATGGATCCTTCCTCTACAAATTCTGTCAATGGTTTCTACTCTTTTCTAACCAGAGGGATCGATGATCTTGAACGTGTCTATCTCTCTAACAACTTCATGTCGATTCAATTCCTTCAAAGAGTTCTTTCTTTATTAAGATCTTTTCATTCTCAGTTGACTTTGCTTGTCCAAAAACTCCATTTGCCTGTTGGGGATAAGTGGCTTGATGAATACATGGACGAGAGTTCTAAGCTATGGGAGGCATGTCATGTCCTTAAATCAGGCGTATCCGGCATCGAGAATTACTATTCTGCTGGATTCAATATCACCTCTTCTCTTGACAGTCATCGCCATCTTAGCCCCCAGCTCTCCCGCCAGGTTCAAAAAAGAAAATCTTATCCCCATCCCTCCTCTCATTGCTTGATTCATTATACAAGAATATCTGAATTAAACTTCACAAAGGACTGTTCTTTATGATATACATATATATTTTTTGAATTCTTGAAACAGGTCATAAGGGCAATTTCCGGGTGTAGAAGGGAAGCAGTGGGATTAGAAGAAGATAACAGAGCTTTAATGGAAACAAGAATCCAACCGCTATCTTTGAGGTTTGATGAGAAGATTTCTATTGAATCCAAACTCAACGGATTCAATGGTTTTCGAGGAGTTCTTTATGCAATGAGAAACGTAAGCTCTTTGCTACTAATGATCTTGCTCTATGGACTGGTCTATTGTTGGCCAGAATCAAGTTTTCTGCGGGGAGGGTACGAAGGGTGCTTGTTTTTTGGATCAGCTTTCATGATCTCAACAGGAAGATTGCAGCAGAGAGTAGCAGCAGAGATAAACCAGATAAATGGGAGGCCAGGGATTCTTCTTTACGAGTTCAGGAGATCAAAGATGGCCATGGAGGAGCTCAGAGGGGAGCTTGAGAGAAAGTGTGGACAAGGAGGAGCTGTAGAGTGGGAAACAGAGGTGGGGATGAGAGAAAGAGTGGACAACTTAAGAGGGTGTTTTGGGGTGTTGAGATCTGGAGCCGAAAATATTATCGGGCAGCTCGATGATTTCTTTGATGAGATTGTTGAAGGAAGGAAGAAGCTTTTGGACTTTTGCAGTCATAGGTAGGTAGGAAGAGAGAGAGAGAGAGAAAAGAAGAAGAAATAGAATGGTTGAGAATTAAAAAAAAAAAAATACAAGGTAGATGAAGCAGTTGTTGGGGTGGTTGTACCTTTAAGCCTTCTCTTCTCTAGTTATTTTTTCTCCTTTTCCTCTTAATTTTCATATATTTTTCCTTTCCCCTTCCATATGGATTTCTTGTTTGTTACGGTTGCCGTGGTAGTTCTGTAGGTTTTGGTTGGAAACCAAAAGGAAAAGATGTTGAACCGAACAAAGTAAACATGAAAAACATTGGGCAGTTCAGTTTAGTTCAGGGAGATCGAGTTATTGTGCAGGGACTACGTTGTTACGCTTTTTTGACATGAAGATGAAAATCCAGCTTCTTGTTGCTTCCTACCATTTATTACAGTGAAACAACACAAAGGGAAAGCTGCTTCTTGTAGGGACAGAGAGATGCGACATGTTCGAAAAAATCCTTAGATTTTCCTCTTGTTCCGGTTGCGTAGTCATGGAAGTGCTCTTTAGTTGTTACACTAAATGACCAATCATTCTAGTAGTGAAAAATGATGGAAAAAGGAGACCTAGAACTTGTAGAGAGGACTGTGATATTCCTGAGTTTGCTTTAATTTCAAAAGAAGCCCTCCCTCTTAGCTCCTTGGGAAGAAATCTTTTGTCTGATACGGGTTCACTTTGAAAGCAATGGAGTTGATGATGAAAGCTTCTTAGCACAGCACTCTTCTTCTCGACATGTCGCTTCTGAACTCTCTTTCTTTATGATAATCATGTTATGCTTGCCAATTTCTCCCCCCTTTTTGGGCTTGGGAAAATATAAAAAACACAATATATGGAGGTCACTTTCTCTTTTCTAACCGTATCTCATGCTTTTTGTCCCTTGCCGGAAATTCATGCCTTGCTTCCCTTCATGGGTTCCATATGAGTATGCTTAATAAACTAACTTGTAAAATAATGGGGAATAAAAGGAGAAAAGATAACGACAAAATCTAGCTAAATAAATAAAGCTAGCTGCACCAGAAGCAGGCAGTTTTTGGCAGCAAAGTAGTGTTCCAACAAAGCTGTGGGCAGCCGGCAGCCGGCATCACACTGCGAATTATCATTACTCTTGAAAACCCAGCACCATGCCTTTAATTATCACAACCAATTATGCTTTTCCATTCCGTCCTTGCAACAAGATTTTAATAACAGATGAAGGAAGCGATGCTAAAAGAAAAAAACCAACCATTTACAGTTGTCCCCCACCTTACCACCTCCCCTGTACGGTGAACTAATCTGGGGTGAGAAGAATAAAGATCCCCGTAAAAGAACCGAGACTGAAAGACACACGATTAGACAAGTACAGAAAGATAGGCAGCCAAGCAAATGCTGAAATTGACATGGCTTCAAGCAGAGCAGCATATCACCATTTGAATCTGCATTGGGTTCATTAAAGAAGAAGAGCAAAGTCATCACCGAGAGCAAGATGTCATTACAATGTTTTGCATGTTATTTGCATTTGATACAGCAGACATCCTGTCTTCCTGTTTAAACCATAATCAAGATGTATCAAAATAACGCTATTTTATTCCGAGCAATCAAAACATAAAGAAACTTAGTCCATCCTCGAAAAATTTTAAATAACTCGTGATATAACTTTACAAAAAAAGAAAAAAAACAGCCAGGACGTTGTAATAATCCGGCAACATCCAAGAAATTCATTATGGTATTTTACACAGGATGAATGAAGAATAACAAATACAGTAAAACGGGGGGAAATGGATGGGTCACCATGCGGAAATGACAGTGAGCCACAATGGCAAGGAAAAAAGACCTACAGCAAGTTGCCTCTTTTATATATTCAAATGTCAAATCCTGGCATGGCAAACTGAGAAGCAAAAATCTCAACCCGGTTTCGAAGCTCAACAATGTCTTTATTGTTATGAAGACCTTTGAGGAAATCCTTTTTTCCATGTTCCCTCTGCACAATAGTCGTGATCTGAGCAGCTTTAAGAAGAAAGTCAGCAATCGTCTCAAAATCAGCCTCTATGCAACCTCTTGATGTCATTGCAGGAGCACCTTAAAAAGGTTAAAATTATGAAAAACTTGGAAATTGAAGAAAGCATGGTCCTCATGTTAACATGATAGTAACTTGACAATTACATGCAGGAATTCAGCGCAATGAAAAATTTGGAATTGAAGAAAAAGGAGGAAGCGGGAATAAACATGATCTATTATAAGACCTATTGGAAGCTAAAAACATCTCTACTTTCTGCTGAAAAAAATCATTTTGTTCTGCCTTTAAAACTATATCTAATGCATGAAGAAATTTGATTGAGAATTTTAAACTCAATATACCTATAGGTGGCTTTATATTAATTGGAAATTGAAGCTTGACAATATAACTACTTACCAATTCTCACTCCTCCAGGACAGATCGCACCATTGTCACCAAATATGGCACTTTTATTTAGAGTGATGTGGCACATTTCACACACCTTCTCATAACACTTGCCTGGAAGAAAGAACAGGAAATATGGTCATTAGGAGAGCAAAAGGAACATACAAACACATGCACTGATAATTTTATATATAACAAAAAAAGAGAGTCAACGTCATGCATAAACACTCCCTTTCTCAGGTTTACTAGGAGATAAAACTGAGAAGAAAAGTTACATAAACACAGAAAGGATGTAAGTTTACATAAGCAGTCAATGCTATTTAATTGGAATGAGCACCCCACCCATGTCTCCATCTACTGTAGACTTTGTCGCTATAAAAGGTTTTAATACGAAGATTCTACAACTATAAAGCTAAAAGGAATTAGGAAGATGAATCAGGAATCATATACAACTGCTACTTTGAGCAGCGTTTGGAGATAATATAAATATTTAAGAGCAGTGGTTTGGAAGGCCCTTGAGCTTTTCCCTCCAATGTTTTCCTTCTCCGGGCAGGTAATGATATATGCACTCACCCATGGTCTGTCATCATCCAGTGGGTCCCAACTTGAAATATGGGTCCCAAGAAGAATCAGGTTATCTTGAAAAGATAAATGATAATTTTATCTAAAACAGGCTTAACCCTAATGCCTACACTAACCCCCTTGGGTATAAAAATAAGTTAGAAGTAACGTGAAGGGGGGTATTCCAGAAAGGGGTTTGCTGCAATTGGATTAGACAAGAGAGTAACTTTGTCATTTCAAATGTTCCTTTCCCCACGCTTTGACTTGAATGGTGATGCATATATGGGCGAGTAACGTTTCCACCAGTGGCAATTCAAATCTTCTCCACTCGAATGATTACTCACTCTTCTGCACAGATACTTCTGCTCAGAGCCAAAATTAGAAGTCTGCATAACCTAGATTTTCTAGTTCATGGCTACCAGAATCCTTGTAACGAGAAAAGGCAGTGGAACAGAAATGCACATGAGAATCAAACTGAAACTCAAAGTAGTCAATGTACTAAGAAAATACATTCTATCTAGAATTCCAACGGCACATAATATCAAGAAATAGGAGCATACTACATTTCAATTTTGAATATCAATACAGTCAAGATGGCAGCCTGCTACCGTGCAAGGTATGTAATCTCATTGTGAGCAGAGTGTTTCTGAGTTTTAAACATCATATGCTCACAACAAAAAAAAAAAAAAAAGGTTTTAGCCTTATGAAACAAGGACAAATATTGACTGGACAAGTGGAGAGGAGAACTCGATGCTGATCAAGACGAGGCAAAAAATATGCGGATGAAAAGCGTTAACAAGTAGAACTTGCACATCCAATTTCAAGGGTAAACTATTTAGCACAGATGACATGTTGTCTAAAAGTCTAAAACATGATGGTATCTTTGAATTTGTTCTGTTTAGAGCTGACTGTATAGTTTGCCAAAATTCTATATTACAGCACCTAGGAAGTGATGGCAGTGACTAGTTCTATGCATTCTAAGCACATATTGCTGATCAATGAAAAAAATTATAAAAAAGAAAGAAAATATAGTGTGATGAACCACCTTAAGCTTCATAATAATATGTAAATTATGATTCAGTTTTTTTTTTTTTCCAGTGTAACTAGGGGGGGCAACTATGAATTTTGGTGGTCATTCTCACAATCAAGATAAAACAGGCTACAAAGAGATTCATATAAGTGGAAAAATTTAAAAATTTATTGCCATTTACTTGCCAAATCAGTCTACATAATCATGTCCATTCATTTTAAGAAATAAGTAACATTTCTATCCATTTTCATAATACATGATTTTCATCAAGTAATAAATGATACTTTACACCCAAAAAAGAATCCATTGACATTGAAGTGTAAAAAAAAGGGAGGAGGAGGAGGCACAATGACCGAATTGCAAAACAGCTAAAGCAGGATTGCTATTAACTTTAATGCATAAGAAAAAACTAAATCTTGGGCTACTAATGTAAACATTGCACACGGATAGAAATATAATACCTGTTAATCCCCAGGTAGTTAGATCCCAAAGCAACAAATGGTTATCAGTCCCCCCAGTCACAAGTCTGCATTTTCTTTTCAACAAAGCAGATGCTAATGCCTGAGCATTTTTCCTCACCTGTTGCATATATGCTTTGTACTCTGGTGTGGCCACTTGTTTTAAGGCTATGGCAAGAGCAGCAATGTGATTATTGTGAGGACCCCCTTGTGTTGATGGATGGACTGCAAAATTTATCTTTTCTTCAAAGTCATAATGGCTGCTAGCATCACCATGACTAAGAAGCATACCAAGCTTCCTCAATTTTGGGCCTTTCCTATAAAAAACAATCCCACCTCTAGGACCTCGAAGACTTTTGTGTGTTGTAGAGGTAACAATATCACAATATTCAAATGGACATACACATTCCTATGAAAGAGAGACAAAACAATAGTAAAGAAAAACTACTGAAAAATATTTTGCTAATTTAATTGCACAATATTGTTTGTTCTCAATACAAATATGGACTCAATAGGAAACTGTTTTTTCAGTCATCAAGCACTTAGAAAAAGTATGCTTTTAGCAAATAAATCCACATTACAATCTGAATCCTAATACAAAAACCATGCCAATGTTTAGTTCAGGCATTTACAGCAGTAGGCAAGTGGTAAAGATAAAAAACCAATCAATTCTAAGCTATTAAATTCCATTTCAGGAAAAATAATTGATCCTGAAAGGATTCAGCACCAGAAATAGAAACAGAATGGCTAGAGAGTTTACTTGAGAAGGGTGTGTATCTATCTGTTATTGATATGTCATTTGTTAAATCACCACATATATTTCTAAATGCATCCCAGTATCTTGCTCAGATACAAATTAGAAGTTAAATAAGTGGCAACTCATGAGACTAGAAGTACAAGGTGATCAATCAAGCACTCATGACATTAAGTGATAGATAATTTTGTACCCTATCTTCAAATTCAAAACCGATATCAAAATGATAAATAAAAAGTAGAATGCTCGTGGAAATTATGCAATATCAAAATCTCAAACCTTAGCTGCTACGAGCCCGCTAATGTGAGCCATATCACACATCAAAACAGCACCAATCTTATCCGCAACTTGTCTAAACCTCGCATAATCCCACTCCCTCGGGTACGAACTCCCACCACAGATCAGTATTTTGGGTCTAAAATCCATAGCCTTCTCCTCCATCTTATCATAATCAATATACCCGGTTTGTGGATTCACCTTATATGGCAGACTCTCAAAAAAAATTGACGAAGCTGACACATTCTTCCCTCCAGGTGTATAATACCCATGACTTAAGTGCCCTCCAGAAGGCGAGTCTAACCCCATGATCCTATCCCCGGGCAATAAAAGCCCAGTGTAAACTGAAAAATTCGCTGAAGTACATGAATATGGCTGTACATTAACACCCCATTTATCAGAATCAAGTCCAAAAGCTGCCAAGGCGCGACTCCAACAGATCAATTCAATTTGATCAATATTTTGATTTCCCGTATAATATCTGGAACCAGGCAATCCCTCCGAGTATTTATTAGTTAAATGACTACCAAGAGCTTCCATAACTGCACGGCAAACAAAATTCTCAGATGCAATCAATTCAATACCTTTAAACTGCCTTTGCTTCTCTTTTTCCATAATCTCATGAATTTCAGGATCCGCGACGGGAAGAGGGTGGTTTCCCCATGCCCGAACCATGGCCCGACGAGACTCCAAACCCGGATCCATAGCAACCCGTTTGGAAGAACTTGTCGTCGATGATGACGATGATGATTGAGAACTATTATCTCTTGGTCTCTTTATGCACACTTGATGACCCAAAATGCTAAATTGTTCATCTTCTGTTTGGTTTTCTTCGTGATCCATGTGGGTTTCTTGTTTTTGATCGAGTAATTGCAGTTGAATTGGAATTGAACTTGAGTGAAATCGAAGCGAGAGACCTGATTGCGCTGCTTGTGTTAAATCCATCTCTAATAAAAATTAAAATTGGGGTTTTTTTTCAAGGATTTTTGGTTATAAGTTTTCAGGGGTAAGAGTAGAAACAACAGAAACAGTGACAACAACGTTTAAAGCATTTGCAACGGGAGTAACGTACTCTTAATGTGTTAACGGAGGAGGTTTCCATTAAAATAAGAACAAACCCTAATTTGGAAACTCTTGAGAGATTTGTTGTTGAGTTTGGAGAGGGTTGTCAAATGACAAGGGGAATGAGCCCGGACCGAAAAATGGAACGTTGGTGAATTGACCGGGAATAGCCGGTAACATCAAGTTTAACTGGAGATTTTCTTATTAAAATATATTAAAATAATTTTTTTATTTTTTAAAATTAGAGTTTATACAAAAATATATAAAAAAAATAATTTTTCCCTGCATTCCCAAACGGTGTCATAGCACCTGACCTGCGCGTTCCTTTTTTTTATTTATTATTATATTTTTTAAGACCGACCGGCCATCCTTGATTGAGAGCAATTGTAGTTTGGGCCCGAATGTACAATCTGTCAATGGGCTAAAGTCCATCTTCTTGCTTGCTTAACTAGACAAAACCTTGCGGTTGCTTGTCTATGGAGTCCTCCTCCTCCTCCCTCTCTCATTGGGATTATTTGGGTTTGTTAATTTTGCGACCCGTTCTCGCAATCTTGTTTGTGTTTTCGTTTATATCTATTGGTATGTATGCATTTCTATTTTTTCCTCAGTGTTTCGTTCGTCTTTGACAGTAAATTTGAGGATTTGATTGGTGGAAATTTGATGATCAGGTTAGTGTTTGGCATGGAAGCTAGTGCTGGTACATGTGCCTTTGGTTCAAGATATTTTCGGCCTGCGTAAAAATCCCACCAAGCCTAAGCCACTGACCCTTCGAATATCAAGAATTTTTTATACCATTGAGCCCCGATATTTCACTCCTGCTGGGTAATTTTGTTCTCCTTAATTTTGTTTATTGTTGTTCATTGATTTATTTTATTAAATTAAGAGTTCAGGTCGGAGTCTGAATTTGAAAGTCCTGTACTTTGATTTATGTATATAGTTAATTGGATAGTTCGTTTTTTATGACTATTGTTGTTGTTCTAGGATTTCCTGGTCGAAAATGGGTCACAAAGTGCGGCTCTTAGCTAGAAATCAATCAAGTAATATTGTGATGATGACTCAATAACCAGGATTTTAGCTGTACTAGTTTTATCCGGAAAAACGGTAGTGGGTTTCCAGTTGTTATGCTGATCTTGAATACTACGACAGCTGAGTGTTTCATAGAACGACCCGCAAGGTGTTTTTCATTAGTTTTATGGATACCTGGTCACGAAGAAAAGCATGAGATATCTGTGGGAATTGAGGCAGTGCAGTTATCGTTGAATGGTGGGCTTTAGATGGTTGTGTTCATTGATTTTAATGCCATGGATGTGATCTTTGGCATGCTATATATTTCACATGGGTTTTGATGGCTTCTTTCGTGGCTATTGTTGGCCTAGTGTGGGTTAGATAGTCTTTGAAGAAAATGTAAGGTGGATAGTCAAACCTCACATTGAATGCCATATGATGCCTTATGAGTTGATCGGTTTCACCTTAGATACAGTATATTGTTCTGATAGTTTGTTCCTGGGAAACATTTGTCTTTATCAAATGTGATTGATTATCATAGTTGCTTGAGAACTCTTTCTTGTGGTGAGGATTTCCTGAAAGAAAGGTTCAAGGCAGTAATAATAGAAGGGAGATCCTGTGTTTGATATCGTAGGTTTTCAAGTTTTCCCATGGCTTGGTAAGAAAAGAGGATTCATCTGGACAATTTCCAGTGACTTAATGGGTGTCAGGTTCTGTGAACAACTTGGGGTGGTTGTTGGGCCTTTCAGTGTTGATTCTTTTGCTCTGCATTTCATCTCTTCAGCTCATAATCTATGATGCGCACAGCCTAGAAGACATACCAAGTTGAAAAGAAGAATAACCTCCTTTGGTTTGTTACGGAAGTTTTGGGCACTTGCATTTGAGGATATCGCATTTCTTCAAGTAGCATAGGAATTAACAAGGTCATGTAGTTTTTGATGCTCAAGTCCAAGAAGGGCAAGAAGGGTGTAATCTTTGATGCTTAAGTTAGGGGGATCTGGGATATAAACAGTGTTCATTGAACAGTATGGATATAGGGAGTGTGTTGTTGAAACACAATGATATAATTAAACTTTCTATTAGCATCTAATGTATTATTGAACGAATATCTGTTAGAAAATTACGAGTTCTAATGATAGCAATGCAGGATTAACAGCTCTAGATCAGCAGCAGATTGAACCTCTTGATTTCTTGCTTGTCTTGGGAGCGAGAAAGGGATGGCAGATGAATAAAAAAACCACACCCATCATTGGTTCCCATTAGAGAAATCAAGTTTCAGATGATCATAAAGACTTAATCGGGGATTGTGCTTGTACACAAGTTTGCCAATACCCTGAAGCTGCGTTGATACAAAAGTCAGTTGATCACAGCAGGTTACCCAATCTGAAGTTCCATGATGTTAATTGTTCGAGAAGCCAGCTTCAATCTGAAGTTGATTCCTGTTAATGCTCCACCTGTGTCTTTGTCATTGCTGATTGGTATTTTGTATCAAACGAATTTGTGCTCTAATGAAAAGCTCTTTTAAGTAAACAAGCATTTTGTGGCTTCCAAAGTGCATGTGAAAGGGTAGATTTAGCTATATCGTGTCATCAGCGCATGATAGATATCAGTGTTTTAACAAAAGTACAGATGGGGTTTGTCTTCTTCTAATAGCTAGTTTATAGATGATTCTAGACATCAAGGAGCTGTAAAAATCGCTTGACATGTCCCAAATAGTCTTGCTTGCATTTAGACAAGATGGGATTTGCATTGCGTGGTTTCAAGTCAAAGAAACATTATAATAGGTTGCAGGTCTCGCAATGCTAATTGAGGAGTCGATTTCCAGTCTGATATGTATGTCATCCGTTAACGCAGAATGGAACTATCGGGCTTCTAGAGCCAGCTTTCCACATCTCCACAAACTGAAAAGTCAAAAAGAGAAAGTAAAAGGATGGTACGGCATTCATCTTCCAAGAAATGCAGTGCAAATAGTAAAACGCGCTGGCATAAACACAGATTAAACGAAAGTTGCACTTCCACGCGATGAACCAACTGGTTAACGCATTGTGATTGTATACACGTGTCAAGAAGACTTTGTTGCCCTTTCCTGAGCCCAAATGTCTCCTAGAAGTTTATAACATAAAAACTGAATTCTACAGTCTCAACGCCAGGGGATGATTTTATTTTTTATTTTTTTCACCTGGGCAAACATGAATTGATTCAACAACAAAAGTTTCGGAACTGATAAACAATAACCACATGACGGCAAGTCAAAGGAAATACTCATTTTCAAAACTTGCTTGCCCAGCAATTATATCGCTAGTCCATTCCAGCAGCTGTTGCAGGTTGCTCAGCACGTTTCTCGGTACCCACTGAGGATTTTTTGTTTCCAGGCCCAGAAGAAACTTTAACCATTGCTGGTCTTATTAGCCGATTCCCAATGAGAAATCCACGACGGAATTCTTGAATTATAATGCCCTCTTTGTACTCTTGAGACTCTTCTCGGGCAATGGCCTCATGCAGCTACAAGAAAAAAGAGCTCAATTATTAACAGAAGGCATACTGAATTTGTTCATGAGCTAACACCCATATTACTCAAGTTTACAAGCATTATTCCAGTCGTAACTTCCCGAAGACATGTTCCCTGATGATTCAGACAAAACCATTTACAGTATAGTAGCTCTTGTAGCAAAAGCAAATATAGTTCCTTTTATTCAAACATCATAGATCCATGAATTTGACTTCTAATCAGGAAGTAAATCTAAGAAGCAGAGGTTAGTAGTGGGAACTGCCAATCAAAATCTCAAATTTCACCCAATTTCAATTTATTCTCAATTTGGACAAACAACACTGGCAGTGCATTGTTTATTTATTTATTTATTTTGTTTATTCATGCATAAACAGAGTTCTGGAAATTATTGCATGCACATGCAGAGATGACAAAAATAAAGTATTAATCAAAATTAATCACAACCCTAAGTACTATCTCATATCCAGTGATTAATCAAAAGCAAAAACAAGCAAAAAGAAAAGGCATCATTCATAAAACCAAGACCAAAAGCAACAAGAAAAGGCATCATGCATAACACAATGTACAAAATGAAGTAAACTCCAGGAATTCGCTCTTACAGAAGGATCAAAAGGCTTTCCAACCGTTGGCACTGCAGCCACATGCAAGTTCCTCATAATATCCACCAATTGCTTGTATATACCCTGGTAACTTGAATCAATTTTCTTTTCTTTTTCTGTTTCCGGTTGTATTTGTTGCTTTGCTCTCTCAAAACTGTCCACCATGGGAAGAAGGCTCTCGATCACTTCTCCCTGGGCATCACTCCTAATTTTGACCCTCTCCTTGTCTGACCTTTTCCTAAAATTATCAAAATCTGCTTGCAAGCGAATATATTTCTCCTTCCCAGAGGTTATCTCAGCGGATAAAGATGAAACTTTCTGGAGAAATTCATGATTCTCTTTTTCTATGGTGCCTACCTTAGCTTCAATATCCAATATAGTCTTCTCATCTCCGTAAAAAATAGCCTGCCTGTAAGTTTTCATAAGGTTCTTTAAACCGGGTCCTCGTTTCTGACCTTCTTGGATCTCAATATTCTCATCCTTCCCATTCGTCTAAATAGGAGTGATTATGGCAAAGATAGCAAAGACAGGAAGAAAAAGAAAACATCACATAATGATTTGATATGAAACTTGTGTTTGTTCTAATAGAAAACAAAATTGAAAACGAAAAGTTTTGTGATCTTGGCTGTCTATTTCCATGGATACAAGTGGTTGGGAATGGAAAAAAAGAAAAAGGTTAAAAAGGAAAAAGAAAATACAACATACAGTGGGTGCAGAGTCTTCAGGTGCGAGATAAGTCTTCAAAGAACGCCTTTTAACGTTGTTGATTGGGATTGGAGAGGAGCTGGAGGGAAGGGAGGCGTTGATGGGTTTGCATAGACGGAGGGGCATTTGGTGGAGAGGTGATGGGGTTTTGGTTTCTAGGGTTTTGGAGGGTTTTGAAGAAAAAGAAGCAGAGAGGCGAGGAGGAGCTAAGAGAGTGTAATTGGACAGGGAAACAGCCATTGAATGATGATAATAATAAAAAATAAAAAAATTGACGAGGAAGAGTGATGGTGATGATTTATGGGCTCTCAGTCAGGAATGTACAGTTTGTTTATTTTGGTTGTTTTTCTTGATCCTCGGTTGAGCTTTGGAGCTCTCCCTCTCCCTCCCCCTCTCTTTCTCTCTCTAAGATTTGTCTAGAAGGATGAGCTTAATTTGTTTATTTCTTCAGCAAGAGAGAGGGCCAAATTAGTCTCACATCGAAAACAAGTCAAATCAGATTGTGTTCATTCTGCCCCAAGTTAGTGTCCGTGATTTATCAATGATTTATTTTTTTTTTACCTGAGTTTTTAACTATTTTTAAATAGAAGTTAGGTCCACCAGGTTTTTTTATAGGTTGTTTATTTTATTGTTTTGCCTTCATTTTTTAAAAAATTATATTTTATATTCTAAGGTTTATAAGTTTAAAAAAATTTATATTCTCATGCTCATGTATTAAAAATTTAACAAAATATATCAAAATTATTTACAGGATTATCATTATATTTGATTTAGATAGCATTTGATTGTTGTTTCAAAATAAAAAATAATGGAAATAAAAATATGTTTAGTTGAAAAGATAAAGATAAAAATAAAAATAAATTTATTTTTATACTTGAAAACATAAGATATATATATGTGTGTAAGAGAGAGAGAAAGGTTTAAAAATATAATATTCTTTATTTGTAAAATATCATTATAAAAAACATTAAATTTTAAAATTATTAAACTAAAACATGTAAGATAAAAATTATTATTATCTTGATTTTAAAATCAGACTTGATGGTTGATCTAAAGCAAAATTTAAGTCACGAGTTAAAAAAATCGACACAAGAATTAATTAGTTATTATCATAGTTTTAAAAATAAACTTGAAAGTTGATATAAGATAAAATCCAGGTCAAGAGTCGAGAGGGTAAATCCAAGTTGATTAAAAAAATAATTAAAATAATCTTGTTTTGACCTAGAAAAAATCAAATAAATAAATTAATATGTTTTTAACCTATGTTTTATCTTAGGTCGACCTGATTTTTTTATGGGTTAAGTTGGGTCAAAATTTCCTCTTTTTTTTTAAATCTAACAGGTTTAGACTATAGATCAATTAGGTAACATGTCGACCTGTTAGACCAATTCTGATTTTATAATTAAATTTATTATAATATTATTAATTTCAAAATTAGGTACAAATTAAATTAAAAAATAATATATAATTATTTTTTAGATGTGTAAAGTTAACACTAATACATATTAAAAATAAAATAAACTTTTTATATTTTATTTCATCATATCTATCAAAACCAAATAAAATATAAAAATATTAATTTTATCATGGTTATCACTATCAAGAAGTTATGTATCTATCTCCTTTTCTATTTTATCTTTCTTGTTTTTACAATCTTCTTCTATTTTGTCATGAGATAATGATCAAACACCACCTTAATTAATATTTATAATATTAAATTATTAATATTACAGCTTTGCCATCCAACATGTAACTACCACTTTACTGTAACTAATATTAGAACTACGCCCAAATAAACAGAAACGAGTAAAAACTGTCGTCGTGTTGGTTTCAAATCCCTCTTGTGTTGCCATCTTCTTTCCCTCACTGTACCTTTTACCTCTTATGTATCCCTTTTCATTCCTTTCTGGGTATTCCCTTCTTTTCTTTTCCTCGTGTTCTTCTCCTTTTATTACTTGCATAATGGAAGAATGATTTTTTAGTATAGAGCATTACAGCCAAGCAGTAGCCTTCATTAACAAAGTTTTGGTCTTCCATGTTATGACAAAGCTCCAATTTTTTTCTGCAGATTTACCAAGTATACTAAAACGCCCTGCTAAAACACTGAAGGAATCTACAATAGCGTCTAAATTTCTTTTGTCCAAATCGTTCTTCAATTTGTTATTTCAATTGCATTATTCTATGCCCAGTTTGCTAAAATTGTTAGGATAAGCAAACTTCAATGGAAAGGGGTGTTTTTCCTTGATTTCTGACTGGATTGTGACCTTGAAAGGTCTGAAATATCTATAGCTTTTGATGTGATGGTTTTTGTTGGTTGGATGTTGCTATTATTTGAACAGAGAAGATGGAAACAACATTTATATTGCTTTCTTGTAATCAATTGAGAGTTTGTAGATGACTGACTTTCGGTTTGTTCTGGTCTTTAGCATCCTGAGTGCCTCTCCCTCTGATTTTTATGTGTTCTATCTCTCTTCGCATTTTCTGTTCAATTTTGCTACTTTCATTTTCATGTTCTTTAGTTGCTTTCTTTACGTGTTCATTGTTGTTAATCTGCCTTTTACTTTGTAGTGCCTTATTTTGCTTCTTCATTTTTTCCTGCTGGGTTTATCCTTAGATTTGAAATTGAGAGAAGCTGAAATGCTCTGGATCTTTCAAGTCATGTTGTTTCGGTTTTAAAGATCGTTGATGTTTTCATTAAGTGATCCATCTAATCTTCTATCATCAATTCCTTGTTGTCGTATAAAGAAAAAAAGAAAAAAAATAATGATTGTTAGTCACAGGAATCATTATTATCTAAAAAAAATATCAATGAACAAAAAAGCTTTAAAAATAAAGAATTGGGTAAGGTTGGGATTATATAAATAAAATAACCTAATAGAATATAAAATACAATATAAAATACAAAGTACTTACAAAAAAAAGCTTAATTTTAAATAGAACTAAATTTTGAAAAACAAAATAGAAAAGGATGAAAAAAAAATATTTGGACGTCCGACTAAATTTATTGTTTAGATCATAAGATAAAAATAATCTAATTAAAAAAAAACTTAAAACAATAACAAATATTATTTTTTAAAATGAACAAATTTAAAGGAGGCAAGCAAGGAAAAAAACTGTGTTCACATGCATTAATTTTTTAAACTTATGATTCTAGTTGGTGATTAAACTAAAAGTATCTCATTTAGAAAACTATCATTTTAAACTTGACTCGACTTGATGGGCTAACTCATGACTCGAAAAATAAACTATCATTTTAATCATGTTTTAAATTTTTTTTTGAAAGAATTGGCATGATATAAAATGATAAAAAAACAAGGGGTTAAGTCATGATTTAGTCAACATGAGAAAAACTAAGTCAAAATTCATTAACTATTTGCCTTTATTTTTTTGTTCAAAGTGATGTCTTTTTAACTTTTTTATAAAATAAAAAGATTTGATTGACTTAAGTTAACTTGGATAAACTCATATAACCTATAACCTGGTACTTACTCTTATTGACTTTGAGGTTAGGTCTAAAACTATAAAAAACACTAAAAAAATCAATTCTTGATAAATTAAATTTTAAATGATGAGATGACGTGACACCTAGTATTTGCTCGTATCAACTTTGAGGTTAGGTCTAAAACTATAGGAAACGCCACAAAGATCAATTCTTCATAAATTAAATTTTGAATGATGAGATGAAAAAAATAAATTATATAAAAGAATAAGAAAATAAAAATTAAAAGAATGAAGATCTAATTTGAAGAAAAAAAATATGATGGCAATATAAGATTTTGGATTAAAAGGAAAAATTGAAAAGAAAAATCAAATTCACAAAAAAATACAAAACAAAAAAAATAAAAATCAAGAGAATGAGGATCGAATTTATAAAAATAAAAAATAAAAATTATAGATCCAATGGTGAAATTTAAAATAAATTAAAATTTAATAAAAGATCTAAGAATTAAACTTAAAAATAAAAACATTGAGAGCCAAACATTTAAAGTTATTAAACTTTGAATTGAAAGATAAAATTGAAAAGAAAAGGACTAAAATAACAATAAAAAAAATAATGATCAAATTGAAGAGAAAAAAATTAAGATTATAAATTTAAGGTTGAAATTAAAAATAAATTAAAATTTGATATAAAAAATCAAACTCAAAAATCAAAATAATAAGGATGAAACCTAAAATGTCATGAGAGATTTGATTTTTTTAATAGCAAGCACAAAATTCAAAAGAAAAAAGAAATTGAATGAAAAAAAAAAAAAAGGTGGCTGACAACCAACCACCATTGTAACTATCACATGTGTCATCCCAGGTAAAAGGAGGTATCATATAGCTTTTAAAACCATAATAGAAGCTAACATTTCTCCACCAAAAGGTGGATTACCATGTAAATGTATAAGTAACATATACTAACAATTTTTTTTAAGTAATTTTTAAAAATAAAAGAAGACTTGATTGTTTATAACCCAATTTAATAATAACAAAAAAAATCAAAGTAAATGACAGAAACAACACCCGGTTTAGAAAACTCGATTTTAGGAGCAATTTAGTCAATCAAACTAGTAAAAAACAAAAAAATAACATTTAATATCCATTAAATAAAAGTAACTTTCAAGTGCAATTTAGTAATTTTATTGTGCATTAAAGATCTAGCTCACCGTAATGTTCCGTAATGTTCTTTATGAACTTGGACATTTGTGTACTAAGGAAAAGACCGGATTAACCTCCTAACATGGCTAAATGTTCGAGTGACAAGGGTAAAATTATAAATTTACTATTAGAATCCATAATAAATTATGAGTGACCGATCCCTGTTAGTGTTTTTAATAATGTACATCCTTATAAATCAAGCAAAGATATATCAAATAACGTGAAACCAAGACAAAACGCATACGCCACAAAAATATCCAACACTGAATTCAAACATCTGCTTTCAATTTTCTAAGCTGCCCGCATCGCTAACAAGAACAGACTAGCGTACACTAAACTGGAGACCAGTCACTACTGCCTGGGTCTAATTAGAAGTCAGCTCTATGCATGCAGATAAAACCTGAAAACAAGAACAGACAGAGGACATGTCAGGAATGGTTTTCTTGACTAAAACAGCAAGAAGGCCACATTTATGTTTTGGCCCTGGTCTTTTCCTTCTCTGTTACCACCCATTGAGATCCAAGCGAACAATTTGTAACGCTAATTAAGCACAGCAAAATGGGGCCGAAAGCCTGAGTTCATTAAAAGGCAATTCAATGCCTGATTTCTCAATGAAAAAGGCAAGTCAATCTATAAATGTTGCGCCCGAGAATGGAGAAGCAAGTAGATTTTTTTGCCCCCTTGGATTTAATATAAAAGGTCTGTTCTTGCACTCGCCTTTTCGGTGACAAAGAAAGCTAAACACGAGTGAAAACAGTCTTCCTGGAATTTTCC